AAGAAACTGAAGAAAAACAACACATTTATCACTGTGGCATCAATCTGAAAATATCACAGGCCCAGTATAGATGACAGTGATAATATAAACAAAGCATCAGTGCTCTCTAATATCCATCTGATGACTGATTCAATCTTCTCCTAAGTCAAGAAACACATTTTCTGCCATTAGGTGGGGAAAATTTTTACTCGATGTCAATGCTGTGCATGAACTTCCTTGTCATAATTCCTTTCATGCAGCTTCCTGATATCACTGTCTATTAGTCAACCTGATATTGCTTGTTTCTAAAAAAAATACCTCGCTTCAGAAGCAAGTATAATCATTTGTAGCAAATTTAACTCAGAGCAGTGTTGTACTGTGGTGGTGGAGGTAGAGTTGCCATACCATCATTACAGGAGGGGTCGTCATTAGAAAACACACAGGGGGGGTTATCCAGCGGTGGGCCTCCACTGGGCCAGTGGATCTTTTCTTGCTGGGACCAAATAATCTCTTTGATAGTTCCATTGTAGTAGGCAACAGGCTGAAAACACAGAGGAAAGCACTATTTTACAGGAATTCAAATAAATATAATTGAATGTGTTATAATAGAATAAAATAATAGAATAGAAACAATATTTGCATAATCCAGTTGAAATTTATACACATTTTTGTAAGAGCTTAAAGATCCTATCATCAGTAATGCAATGGTTTATTTTGTCATTTTAAAATTGAATGGTTGTTGATTGATTCACAGCATCAACTCATGCATTGAATAAAATGCAAAAAACAAACAAACCCAAAAACATTCATCCATAAAAGCTGCCAGGTGGCCTTGCAACAGTACAGTTGTGTTGCGAGCTAACATTAACTAATAAAAAATAAAAAGGCAGCAAAACATCTTTTCACTTTTAGAATAGATAAAAAATTCTAAGTTTGATGTAATGTCAGTCTGTTGCCCCGCTGTTAAACACAACTCCTCGGTTTCTGATTAGCTTGGGGAGTTTTTGTTTTCCACTGCTGCCAGCATGTTGTGTCCTCTCTGCTAAACCCCTGACGGCTGTCACCCCTACAGAGGGTCACCAAAACTATGCAGAATGTGATGGATGAAGGGGCAGAGGCTGTGCAGTCTGAAATAGTTGCAGTATTCCAGGTAACAGGCTATGCTTCGTTGAACTCCCAAAAATTCTGTGTTAATCTTAATAGCTCTAATATCTTCAAGTCTGCAAATAAGACAATGCAGCTTCTTTAAGTGCAGCAAAACAAATGTGTCGACAATATGTATGTTCAAGAGAACGAGCCAGATGGATGTACATACAACCCAAAACATGGCTGTTGCCAACACAGAGGCCATAAAAAAATCTCGGAGGGGTGTGGACTTAGAAGCAAGCGTACCAGACCTCCTCTTCACACGTTAAGTCTAGAGGCTCAAGGCTACAATTAGCTGTTATTAGTGCAACACAATACCCCCCCACCCCCCCCAAACTCTGACCAAATTGTCAACAATTGCAATGCATTGTGGGTAATGTAGGTGCACGGTGAATTTGGGCTTGTTCAACAATTTTTTGCAATTGGAATACATTGTGAGCAGGTGGAGTTTGGGCTGGCTTTAGTTCTGTTCAATCAAAACAGGTCCTTTCATCTCCTTTAAAGAGCAGGACAGAAACCTGACTGACTGATGTCACTGATGTCAGGACATGGAAACATATGAGAGGAAAGATTTCCCTGTGTCTTCTTCTCCTGCCAGTTATGTACTCCATTCCTAAACTGACAGTGACAAATGTAAAAGTTCTGCACATGAATATTCACCCAGCAGTCCGCTAATATCACTGACCAGCATTTGTGCATGGAAGAGAGAAAGTCTCTGGTCCTGTAACCAGCAGCAATCATATAGTGGTATTTACTCACAGCTGCATCCAGTGTGTGAAATCGGGGGGGTCTCACATGTAACCTTATAAACATTTGGCTGTATGTAATATAATACAATACAATCATATTGTAATCTCTGTGTTTGTGGTGAAACTGTCTGCGGTCCACCAGAGTGCACAGCCAGTGGATGTGTCGCCCACTTTATCTCCACTTCCAGCTGCTTTCAAAGCTGATCAAACTGCCATAAAACGCATAAACAGACACAGCATATATCCCCGTGGTAGTAACGAAGTTACGTCTATGTGAAACTTGTTCGTCTGAAGAAACTAACAACTTAACAGCGACAGCGGCCCCAGTGAGGCCTATTTTACCTGCTGTGTAACAGGATTAATGGAGATGTCTGCATGGTGTTTGTTGTTTATCTTGGCTCATGAGCTGCTTTCGTGTGTTATTATGTGTAATTTTTAACATGGACTCCCTAGCACTGGCTGCAGGCCACCTCTGGCTGAGTCTTCTAAGTTGGTGCATCCTGACGTGCGCCAACACTGTTTGACCATGTTCATATCTAGAGCCACATACTGAGGACCAGTTTATTTATCTTCTTTAAAAATCATCTTCATGATACAACAAATTATTCAGAGTGAATCCCAGCAGGTCAGTGGTGAATTTAAGGGTGACTGTTAAGTTGGTGTGTCCTTTAAAATACATCTGAGTACCTGATCTCGTGCTTCCCAGGATGTATACCTGTCATGAAAATTGCCAGTAAAGCTGTGACAGCCATAAGAAGTGGTCTGAGCAATTGCTATTGTTATCCTTATTTCATGCCAAAACGAGCACCAAAACTGCACCACGCTGCCTAATTAGCACATACACAGCCTCAACTGCGCTTCTCCTCCCACCACAGTGTATTCATTCATGGCAGGAAAATACCAAACACACCCAATGCACAAAAAACTAGACATGTAGCTGAGGAAAATTACCTAAGGACGGCAAATAAGGAAAATACAGCTGTAGAACTTAATAAATATTACACTGAAGAGAAAATGCTTATCTATAGAGTACATGTACAAACACTGTATATCCATTGTGAAACAACTCAGTAATGTTTTCTACTGTAATTTGTCAGTAATATAACAAAATAAAAACAACACAATATAAGCAACATAGTTGTGAATTTATCAGATTATTGAAAAAGGAACAGTTACTTCACTTTACATGAAAAGCACTAAGATTGTAAAATATATGTATTAGCCATCCATCAAAATATTTCAGTCTGAGTCATCAGATGGATGAATATTGTAATTTAAAAAATCATACACAATCCACTACACAACATATTCATCAGTCAGAGGGCATGAAAGATGAAATTGACCAGAGATGTTTTCAACCAGGCTGCTGCTTCTCAGGTCAATCAGTCATATGAATCAACCAATTAAAAGCTGAGGATAAATGAGATCAGGAAGTCACACTGACAGCCTCTGAGGACTGCCATGAAATTCTAAGTGAAGTCAGATGTAGCCAACTCACTTCTTCTCCCCTCACAGGAAAAAAAGAAACACAGTGGAGCAACTCACAGCAGTGTTTGCTGAGTATAACATACACAAATATTTTCATCGTACTGTGAGGGAAATTTGAGGTTTTATGTATCTTGTCATTAGAGGAGTCAGGATCCTGGCAGGCTGAAGTTTTAAATGACTCATAACTAATAATGTTGAAAACATCTTTGAGAAAACTGTTGTTACAATAATTACAGACACATTAAGTGAATTAGTCCTGTGTTGTTCTCAGTCCGCACCATTATTTTTGTGCTATAACCTGTACACCAAAATCGTTGATAACAAAAATGGTTTTATAGGAGACAAGCATTGTTGCATATTATTAACTCTAATGTAATCGTGGCAGTATTTATGGGCACCAACATGTTTGTAATTTATTTTAGGAAATGTACCACATAACAAATCAAAGAAAACAGTTTAAAAAGTTATAATGAAATTTAAAAACAGCCTAACTTTTTGTGTGTCCCAGATTGGTCTGCTATTAGGGTTGGGTATCAAACCTCAGTACTTTTGTGGTAGCAACAAAAATGTGCCTATAGCACTGAGTATCAAAAACCTGTCAAGTACTCAAAGCTGGCATCAAATGTCTGGTCAGATTTGTCTCCTTCTCTACTTAGTATTTCTTTAAATACTTACTGATTTAATCAAAACCATACAGTATATCAGAGTTCTTGTATGGCTGCTTGTGTTTATATAACATTTGCAGTTGATTTTCTTCATGTATATTTACATACCAGGGTTTTCCCTGCCATAGGAAGGAATGTAAAAACGTGAAATATCAGAATGAATGGAAAAACAACTGAGTTACATAGACTATAGAATAACAGAGAGGTGACTTGATCTCAAAATGAAATGTAAGCTGGCAACAGGAACGACCTGTCAATCAACAAACATTCGTGTGACTAGCAGCATCACCAAGCTAATCAAACAGCTGATTTGATATTTCTCTGTACCATCAACTCAGGACAGTCATCAGTAACATTAGCCTCCACAAAGAATACATGAAGCAGGCTTTAACTTTGCTGGGGAGTAATTCTTGTGAACAATAGTGACAGCAGAATGTAGCTTATTTTACAATAAAAAAATTGCTAACATAGCAAACAGGTCCTGAATTAGTTAAGTTATGTTAAATAATGTTATATAAAGAAAAGTTAGAATTTCCTACGAATAATTTAAATACCTTAAAAAGCGCCTAAGCCATCTGAAAACATAGGGCAAACCCTGCATACAAAACTCGTTTCACCAACCCCTATGGGCAGCAAAAAGAAAAGTGCTTGTACAGCTTACTTAATGTTTAAACAACAAAATGAAATGTTTGAGGACTCTGGCTTTTTTTAAGTGAAAAAATGTAAAAAAGGGGTTGTAGAAAACAAAGTGGTTGTCAAACTCAGGTAGATGCAGTATCAATCAACTGAAAAACGTAAGAATAAAAAGACAAAAGAAAAGATAATCATGCTAATAACTGTTAGAACAGTATATAAGAAAAGGGTGTACTGAGCCCCTCCTTCCCCATGTCCAACAAACGTCTCTATGCCAAATGTGTTTATAAACTGCCTCAGTTCTCATTGACAATGTCTGTGCCCCTAGGTGCATTGAATTCATCAAAATTTTCCTGTCCAAAATTTCACTCCAGGACATTTATGAAAATTCAATCCAGTAACAGATTTTGGTGCATTCAGCCAACCTCTCTGCTCTCTACCTTAATCAGGAGTCAGGATGTGTGTGTGATCACTACCAGCAGCAAAAGAAAACACCAGTGTTTACTTTGAAGCAGCCTTTGACCCACTGGATTCTGTTTTAAATCAATTCCTTGCCAACATTAAATCCTGTCCCAAACCTTCTATTTTGCACAGAAACACAGTAGAAAACTAAACAGGAGCTTTAAAGGAATAGGCCCTGTCAAAATGCCCGTTCAGTCATCTAGTACTCCCCATATCAACCTGCTGACATTCACAGACACATTAAACACAAAGCGAATCAGTGGCAGCACAGTAAATGCCTTACGTACCCTGTACTCTCCTGTCTCCTGGTTGGTCATCGCCCACAGGCTGACATCTACATCCCTGGCATTTTTGTGGTCAGTGGTAACAAGTCCCGTCACTCCTAAAAACAGATAATATCCACAATAAAGGTGTGATTCAGTGTGTAACGACATATACGGTCCATAAGTCAAATGTGCTCATTTCATCTGCTACCATTGACATTTAGACCATTGCACTGGAGTTCTTCTGTGACATCAAGTGTTTGTTTCATAAACATGGATTCTTTGTCACTTCCTATCACTACAGTATTTTTACCAGTGATGTTATGTTGTGTTTAGGATGATTCTGTAGCACATTTATTATTTTAAACAGACACTGGAGAAGGTTTTACATTCCCATACATACTGTATGTTACAATAAACACTATGAACACACCCACAATAATACCTTCTCAATAATACATAAATTTTCCCATGATGCTGGGGTGGCTGTGGCTCAGGAGGAAGAACGGGTCATCTCCTAAAAGCCGCCAGTTAATAGTCTATTTGATGCTTGATATGGGTGCTGTCACACTCCAGAAAATTAGTGGTTTGGTTCTCTGCTTGTCCACTCCACGTGTCAAAGTGTCCTTGAGCAAGACACTGAACTCCCAGTGATGTCACTGGTGTGTGAATTTGGGAGTGCGAATGGGTGAATGGCCAAATAGTGTGAAAGCGCTTTGAGTGTGCTGCGGTGCATAGAAAAGCGCTATATGAGACCACCTACACCTTTAGACTGAAGTAACAAAATCCCATTGTTCTGCTTCTTCCAGTATGATGCACCATAATAAACAAGGAAGTGTGAGAGCACCCATATCAAGCATCAAACAGACTATTAACTGGCGGCTTATTGAATAACAGTTGAATAATTACTGTGTTGAAACAGCATGTTTAATCACATTTTGGGATCAACTGTGCTTTCCAATATTGAGCAGCTGATTCACTTGGCCTCTCTGCATGTTTATTGAAGAACACCTTTGCTTGTCATCTGAGAAGCAGCCATGAGCAAAATATACATTTTGCATGAGATCACACATGTACATCCAACAGGTTTACAGTAAAAATGTGACTGCCAAAGTCAAACATTTATTTTTCAAAACTTCTCAAGGGTTTGTAGACCTGCTGTTATATGTGAAGCTGTTTGTAATAGCTGAAGCACATTACAGACGTTTGCTCACCCCAGAATCGGCGATTCTGCATCCTCGTTGTGATGTCAATGCCATCATTCTGGGCTCCACCGTCCAACAGCGTCTCCTCCAAGGCCTTTGCATAGAGTACGAAACCATCATAGAAGCTGCCAGCAATGTAGTCCATCTGTAACAGTTTAAGCAGTTTAAGCATTAAATTGCACTGTTTTACACATGAAATTGCCAAACACCAACAAGCACAATAAGTACAGTCTTAAGTACTTTTATGAAACATACTCAATGCCTGAGATAAGAGCAGTAATAAAAGAAAAGCTATTTAATGCTAACGTGATTGTAAATACCATCATGATAATTTCACACCACAGTGGGAATTGATCTTTGCAGGATATCCTAGCAATGATTAGCAAGGTTGTGAAGTTTTCATTAACTAAAACTTACCAGTGATGGTTCTAAATGCACACCAAAATCCCTCTGAGCTCTGGCATGGAGTCTCTTCTGAAAGTCTTTGTACTCTGGATTATCAGGAGCTCGATATGTTATGACAAATACAGTCTGGAGGAGACACAGTGACAGAGGAGGGAAATATTTCAAAACTACTGCCTTGGCTATGGGAACTGAGGATTGTCTGTTTTTGTCAGACTGAATGTGACAATGAATATCTTGTTTCACATTCTAACTGTAATTTTAAAATGTTATCTAATATGTCTGTCTTATTTCAATCACTAATATAAAAAAATAATAATTATGGTAATGGAGTATGGCTGAAATATTGTGTCTCTGCTTTGTCTTAGGTTTTATAGTCAGTAATACTAAGATTTCAGATTTACATAAAGTATCTTGCAACTCTGAGGCCATTCTGTAACCTATTTAGTACACACTATAGACATTGCCCATGGCGTCTTTTTTTTATTGTTTTTGGTTAAGGGCCACAAACTGCTAACTGACTCAGTGGCTAAAGGTCCCTGAGCTTTTAGCGCTTTGTGACTCCAAATCATTTTTGCATATTTCTGCAATGATTTGATGTCAGAAACAGAAGATGTATGCAAATGACAATAACCTACTGTACATTTATTACATAGCCTAACATAAGATTAGTTAAGGCCAAGTTCACATATATTAGCCATTACAAAACCACCCAAATTCATGCTGACAATGAATTTTCCCTATTGTTGTTACTCAGGGTCTTTTTAGGAGTGAGTGTCACTATAAAATATAAACAAAGAGTTTGCATGTTCTCCCTGTGCCTGCGTGGGTTCTCTCCGAGTACTCCGGCTTCCTCCCACAGTCCAAAGGCATGCAGCTTAGGTTGACTGGTGACTCTAAATTGCCCGTAGGAGTGAATGTGAGTGTGTGTGGTTTTCTGTCTACATGTTCGCCCTGTGACAGACTGGTGCAGTAATTAGCCTTCCAAAACTCCTGTGCATGCTGCAGTAAACATTTGCAATACATTTTTGTACATGTAAAAAAAAAAAAAAAAAAAAAAGATTGCTACATTTGACCCAGACAGTGTTTTTACAGTTGATAGTTGGATATGTATGACAATATTTCACCAATCAAATATAGTCTGCCTTTGGTGTTGATATAAATAATTTGCTATTGTACAGTTTGGTAAAATCAGAGACAGAAGTGGGCCAATTAGTTTTTTGTCTGTTCAAGTGTTGATTAAAATGATTGGCTTTGCCCAGAAAAGTGAGCACAGCTGGAGTCAAGGCATCCCCCCATTCCATGCTCTATAAATGCACGGCACTGTTGCAGCACATAACATACCCGACAGTGAAGAGGCGCATGCAAAAAGCAATAGTGTGAACACACCTGAAAAATGCAGTGTGTAAGATTTAGAGGGATCTCTCAGCAGAAATGAGATATAGTATTCACAGTTAAGTTTTCATGAATGTGTAATCCCCTGAAAATATGAATTTCTGCATTTTTTACATTTAGAAGCATTTAGAAGCATTTTATATTTACATAGGGAGCAGGCCCCCTTTCATGGAGACCACCATGTTGCGCCGCTATGTTTCTACAGTAGCCCTGAACAGACAAACCAAACACTGGCTCAAGACTGCTATAGCACTACTTGCTAAACAAAGAAGACAAAAGAAGAATCAGTGTCATGAGAAGGTTGGGAACCAAAATCTGGAGAAATAGAGGATCATACTTATAATTTATGAATAGAAAAAGGAAAGGAACTTGAATCCTTGTGGTCAAAGAAGTGAAGACATGAAGAAGCAAAACAAGATCATGACAGGTGAAGCAAGAATAAACATTTGTGTGGCCTTTCCCAGATGGAAATTGTTGATGAGGGACAAATGTTTCCAGAGTAACACCAAAGTTTCTTGTTTTCTGCTGGCCAATTACTTTAGCCTAATGAGTAACCTAAAGTCAATTTGCTGTTTGATAGCTTTGGCTAGAACATGGCCAGGGGCATAGTTACAAATACACATAAACCTATTTCCTGTGTCAGTGTTTAGTAATGCTTAACATTAATGCTAATTTCACTAGGAAAGTAATTTTACATGTATACCCCAAAACTAAAATTCATCTTTGTTATTTGAACCCACAAGGCCCAGGGACTGAAATCAGCCCTCAGCTTCTAAAAATTATTGTTAATAAAAGTGTAACATAAAAATAAAAAGCTTTGGAGCTCAGCCAACAAAAAGCAGGAGTATTATGAAAAGTGGGGAGTGAAATTATGTCTTATGAAAAAAACAACAACAAACAAACAAAAAAAACACGTTGGTCCTAAAATGAGAGGCTGATGTTTGATCGGGGTTTCTGATAAGACATAAAGGAGACATAAAGTATTCCACCAGACTCTTGCCTCAACTCATCTTTGACACGTCAATACATGTGCTGCTTTTAGATGTTTTAGATATTTCTGTGAAGTCTTTTAGTGTTTCTCTTCACTGGAAGAGCTACAGATTGTTTTCATGTTACATTATTGGAACCCAATACAAACTCCCACAAGCAGTTATTGCTATAAAGGAACTTTATTGCCATAATGAGACTTGTTATGGCTTGCATACAAATTAATGCCTTGCACGACTGGCAAAGTGAGAGCCAAATTTTGGTTCTATTACCAAGGTTAGGAGCAGTTCATAAGAAATAAAGAGATATGGAGAATGTACTAAAGTTGTTTAATACCAGTTCAAGGTTCCAGCACTGCAAAAAAATCACTTTAATCTGTTAAATCTAATCTCCAATCTTAAACTTGCTTTCTTCTTGAAATTTGTGAATATACGATATCATGACACAAAGCACAATGTACTGAATTTGTGTGGCTAGTTGGTTAAAGGATTTTTCAATTAATATGGAAAAACACAGTTATTAAGTCCAAAACATTAAGAGTGTCCTCTTAATGGAAATACATTA